ATTGTATCAGCTTGTAACTGAAGACCTTCAAGATAGACATTCATCTTTGCATGTAAGGTCGATTGAGCAAAGACGTGGGTCGCTTCCCCCAACCTTCCTTGAATACCAATCTCCATGGTTTCTAGCACCACCTCATTCCCGAACAATGTGTATGTTTATCACGAACCATCTACCAATATTGGCGTTGTAAAAGTGTCAATCCCGCCACCATGCATTATGTTAGTATATGTTTTAGGAATATTGTTTTATATCTTATGCTTGTAGATTTTGTACAAATACTATAAGGGGCCGTTTGGTTCGCTGGAATGGGGAAAGAGAATGGGAATGATTCCCTTTGTTAGTGTTTGTTTTCACTTATTTGTCATTCCCATTCCCCCATTTTATTTCTGGGTTTATCCAAAAATCTCCTAAACCCATTCCCCACCCCCCCTACCTTTTGCATTCCCATTCCCCTACCACCAGTCCACCACCATACCCTATCAACTGCATGCACCTCGCCGGACCTCACTTCACCTCGCCGGAACTTACTTCACCTCGTCGGATGCTCGTCGACCCTCCCCTGACCCTCGCCGCCCTTCGCCGCCCCTTCTCCCACCCGAAAATCCTCCCCCCACCCACGCATAACCCTTAAAAAACCCTCCCCTCCACCGGAACAACCGGCCACACCTCACGGAAGTTCGTCGCCCCTACACCGACCTTCGCCGCCGCCCCTCCCCTCACCCTGATAATGTCTCCCCTCCCCGGAAAACCCCCCCCCCTCACCCACACATAACCCTAAAAAACCCTCCCCCTCCCCTTAGAACAATCGGCTGAAGGGTGGCGGAAGGGCGGCTAGGGGAGGCGGTGGGGTGGTTGGATGGTTGGGGTCTTCAGGGCTGCTGGAGAAAGAGGGAAAGAGAAGTGAAGAAGTGGTGGACTGGTGGTTGTGTGGTGGTGTATTTTTTTTTATTTTTTTTTAAAGTTGTTTCCTTTTGTTTTGTAAAACAAACAACTTTGTAAAACAAAGGGAGTTGCATTCAATTCCTCTCCTTTCCCTTTCTTTAAGTCATTCCCTTTCCCTTAGGTAAACCAGACGGCCCCTAACTATTGATAAATAATAATCAAATCACACTATTAGCTCTTTACCCTAAATTTGTCAAAATATCAATCAGTAAAATAAAAAAGACATTGAGACGATTCTAATAAGACCCCACATGGCCACATGACAATGTTTTGTCACAATTACGAATGTCAAAATGTAGTCAAAGTAAAATTTATAAAGAGTATTAAGCTATAAAAAGTCAAAACGTGTGAACTAAAAATGAATAGAAAGAGTATGTATAGTTTTACTAGTGTCAATTTAGTGATTGTTTGGTTCATATAAGAAGTTAAAATTCCCATGAATTTCAAATTTATGAGAATTCATAAATTCCATAACCAAATCCATGAGAATTTTCTACATTTATTTGGTTAACAATGAGGGAAGTAATCTTCCATTGGAATTTCAGATTACCTAAGGGGGATTAGTAAGTAAACTCCTACACTTTGTGGAAAGTGTATAGTCCTAGGGAGTTCCACTTCCCCTATTTTTTACACATACTCCCTCAATTTCATAATAATTCGCAACACTTTTTTTCATCCGTTTCATAATAATTGCAACACTTCCTTATTTGGTAAGGAACTGTAACTTTTTTATTATTTCTCTCGCTTACCAACCCTACTTACACTACCAATTTATTTATTTATTTTTTAAAAAAAAAAAAAAAAATTCTCTCCTATACTAACAATTAAATATATATCCACACTAACTATATTTTATATTTAAAAAATCTTCTTTTGGTCCCCACCCTATAATTTTCCTAAAATTTTGTGCTAACCCTATTATTACAAAACAGAGGGAGTAATTGATATGCCCCCTCCGTTTCGTAATAACCACAACACTTTCCTTTTAGATTCGTTTAATAATAATTGCAATTATTTTTTATTTAGTAAGGACCCACTACTATTATACTCCCCCCATTTCGTAATGATCGCAATAGTAGGTTTTACACAAAGTTTTAAAAAATCTATAGGATAAAGATCATAAGGTGAATTTTATAATATAAAGTATAGTTAGTAAGGATATATTTTAATTGTTAGTAGAAGAGAGAAATAATTAAAAAAAAGTAGTATAACTAGGGTTAGTAATTAATATGAGAGAGATAATAAAATATTTATGCAAGAGAGGTTACTGGGAGAGAGAAATAATAAAATAGTAGTAAGTCCTTATCAAATTCAGAAGTGTTGCAATTATTATGAAACAGATGTTAAAGGAAAGTGTTGCGATTATTAGAAAATAGAAGGAGTATTATTAAAAAAAAAAATTATTACTCTTTCATACTAAGCATTAAGTATATCTCCCTAATTATACTTTATATTATGAAAATCCTCCTTTAACGTTCACCCTATAATTTTCCTAAAACTTTTTGTAGTGTTTAGGCTCGATTTTTTTGAGCTTCTGAGCAGAGTAGAGCATATTTCAACAGAGTAGAGTAGATGTTAAGTATCAATAGAGCAGGTATTAGCAGAACAAATTATTATAGTAGAACAGTTTAAAAGAACAGGACCTAAACTGTTGCGATTATTATGTATCAAAGGCAGTAAATGCTTTTAATTTCAAAAAGAGTGAAGCAACAAATTAGAGACACCTAAATCAAGATATATAATTAGACAAGTAATTAAAAGTGTAGTGATATTTAAAGATAATTTACTTTTACCACGTGGCACTATATTCAACGTTATTGAGCTCTGTGACGTGCGGGTCCCACAAGCTGTCGGGTTGTCGTTTGGAGTGGAGTGTGTGGGGTCCAGTTGACATTGTGCCATTTCACTCGTGAAACTTTACAAAACACACTCCCTTCATTTTCTCGTGATATTTTCAGCCATCACAAATTCACTAAACATGCTCCTTTTTATTTAATTTTTTAACTTATTTTTTCAGCCATCACATATGACATGTTCTTCATTTGAATTTATAATGTGTAAAGGAATTTGTTTCTCCGATTTTGAGGGAAATTAGAATTCTAAAAGTGAGAAAATGCTTAGGTATTAATGTACTTAAAAGTCAATGCTAAAAAACATGAAAATTGGACAAAGACATGGTCATAAGTCATAAGTCATAAGATAAGAGACTTGAATCTACTTACAGTAGACTTGAAATTAATATGATGTGTGTATTTATCATGATTTAGCTTTAGAGAGTTCAAACAAGTGAATTCAAGCTGACATGTCTGTGCATTTGCATACTAAAGGAATTTAGTTTTATACAAATACGAATAATTTATAACTCATCTTGACTGAAATAGTCTATAGAATTAATCTATACATTCATTTAGCTAGCTAACACAAGATATACTCAAATTGAATACATTCTCACCGTAAAGTACTTTTTGTATATACATTGCTTCTAGTTTCAAATTAATCTAACATATTGGAAACGTGGGTTAAGAGTATAAGACACCCTTAAACCAAAATCTTATAACATAGAACAAGTTGAACAACAATATATAAAAATAATACTAAAGGTGCGTACTTAGTCAAAGGACAAACACAAAAGGATGGAGTAGTATATAAGCGGACTTGACACAACTCACTGCCATCCCTACAAAACTTTGTTAAAATATTAAACAATATAATCTTCAAGTAATCAAATAATTAATAGGAAATTATATTGATAAACTCCTTCTAGAACGCAAAACTTCCCGACACATACCAAACTAGATGCCAACAAAAATGTAATATATCGGCGAAAAGAATGAAATAAAATATCGAAGGCAAATACTTCGTAAGAAAAATGATGGAAATGGGGTCAGATTCCCATCATTCCAAAAACCACCATGTCCACCACCATCAACCCATTCAATTCCATCTATTACCTAAACTATAACCCCAACCAAAGGTAAACCCAAATAAAGCAAATGAAAGGGACATCAGAAGGGTAAATTTGAGAAACAAATTATATTTGCTTAAGGAAATTGTTTCAAAAATAAAAAGTTTAAGAAAATTAGAAAATAATTTTCTTAAAATAGTTAAGGAAAAGGACTCTGACCGACTGACTGTAACTCAACCCTCACGATATTTTGGCCCGTTATTTACGGGTCAGACACTTTGAGAGTGAGGGGAAAGGGTAAGGAATCTGCACCCTCAAAATGTCTATAGTGGGAATTAAACCCTCAACTTTAAGGTTGAAAGGTGCAATCTATCCTAGACTAAGTTTAGCTTGATTATTTTTAAGAAAAGTATGCTTAGTGCAACACAAATGACATTATGACAATAATACGGAGTACAATATAATGTTTAATATGAGGTTTTTTTTTGTTTTGTTTTTTTTTTTTTTTTTTTTCATTCAATTTACAATTTGATTATTTGACTTATTATTTCACACGGACATTACTAAATTAATTTTTGTTCAATTTGCAAATAATTTTCAACAAGTATTAGAATAGTTATACTCTCCCCTTATTTCATATAAATTGTTCGGTTTCCTTTTTGTTTATTCCATTCAAATTACTAGTACTTTTATCCCCTAATATTGTCAGTACGACTCACCATCGTCACTATATTTCCTTTCTATGTCACTTGTAAAAGACAAAGTGAAATGTTAAGAATAAGATAATTTTTAAGAGACAAAAGGAGTATAATCTCCAAAATCTCAATGCCCTTACATGAAACGCCACTAATTAAAATTAATGTTAATGAGAATAATTATAATTATAAATAATTAAGCAGAGTAACATCCTAAATCCAAAAACACAATCTCATCCCTAAACTCGTTTAATTCGAATTAACATAAAACTTTCTTACTCCATACAGATTTCTGTTACCACCTATCAAACGGGCCGTTAGAGTAACGTATAGCAAAACCCGAGAAGGGGAAGAAAAAAAAAAGGGGAAGAAAAAAAAAAGGGGAAGAATGAGCATCATATATGTTGATGAAAAGTGAAAAGAGAGAAAGAAGAAAAGAAGGGAAATACAAAGAAAAAAAAAAAAAAACGACCCATAGCACAATACCAGACAGGTAGGTACCCACCCTTCATCACTATCTCCACCCACACCTTTCTCTTCTCTCTCTATTTCTTCCTTTTTTACCTACCCATTTTCTCCTTCTTCAATTCTCCCTTCTTCTTCTTCAATAATCTCACAAAATCAAACAAATTTTCCCAAAATTTCACTGAATTTTCAATGGAACCTGTAATGGGTGGCTGTAATGGCGGCGGAGATGCTTCAAGTGGTGGCGGTTCATCAGAATCAACGGTTGTTTCAAAGGAAGAAGTTGTGGTTGAGCAACAAAACCTAAACCACCATAATCGACATCATACCCACCTCCATAATCATCATCAGAATGTTAATTTTGAGGTTTCTGATGATTCTGAGCTTGAATTAGGACTTGGGTTAAGTCTTGGTTCGAAGAATCATAAGCAAATTCCAAGGATTTTCACTGCTAAAGATTTTGCTAATAATAGTAATAATAATAATAATAGTAATAATAATAATGGGTCTTCTCCTTCTTCTGCTTCTTCTTGTTCTTCTCTGGGTTTAAGACCTCCTTCTTCTGTTAAGAATTCTGCTCCTGTTAACAATCACAATACTTCTTCTGGTACTAAGCGAGCTGTTTCTCCTACTGCTGTTAGGTATCTCTCTCTCTTCTATATTTTTTCCATTAATTTCTGTTTTTGGGAATTTTTTATTTGCTGATTATTTTGTTTTTTTCCCCCAATTTTTTTTTGCATGATTTTGGTTTATTTTTGGTGGGGTGATTGTATATTTGGGTGTATGATTTGTTGGTTTATTTGGGTGTATGATATTTGTGTTTGATTATTGGTGGTATTTTCATAGATTAGAGATTATGTGTTAGGGTTGAATTTGGGTGTATAATTTGTTGGTTTATATGGGTGTATGATATTTATGTTTGATTGTAGGTGGTTTTTTCATAGATTAGAGTTATGTGTTTGGGTTGAATTTGGGTGTATAACATGTTGGTTCTGTTTGTTATAGTCATTTTATTATGTGGAAGTTTTATTGTTGATGAATTATTGTTGGGGTGTTGTTTCTTGTTGTGTGGGAGCAGTCAAGTTGTGGGATGGCCTCCTATAAGGGCATACAGAATAAATAGCATGGCAAACCAATCGAAATCGGTTTCGAATGGAGAGAATGAGGCAGAGTTTGATGAAATGAAACAGAAAGATGTGATGTATGGTTCTGATGAGAAGGGTAATGCCAAGGAGACAGTTCCTAAGAAAAGTTGCTTGTTTGTGAAAGTGAATATGGATGGTGTTGCTATTGGTAGGAAGGTTGATCTCAATGCGCACTCCAGCTATGAGTCGTTAGGGCGAATGTTGGAGGAGATGTTCACCAATAGAGCTGTTGAGAGTATGATCCTACAACTTTGCTCTTTTTCCTTGCTTCATTGTGTTTTGCTGATGCTATAGATAATATGTTTGATGGATTAATCTAAGATGTTTAATTTAAGTGATGAAACATGAGGATCCTTTCTTAATATGCTAATTTGATTTGATAAGAATATTTTTGTTGCTTTCTTTAATGGTTTACATATTACTATATTAGTGGTGGCTTTGTGTTTTCTTGTTAAAAGGATAATGTCATGAAAGGGTATAAATGCTTAACTAGCAAGGGAGAAAAAGAACAAAAGGTTTAATGGCATAAACTTTAAAGCAACTTTATGATCAAAACAAACAATTGTATGGACAAGAGTGACTCAAAATTCAAGTTAAAGATGAAACGCATGAGGTCTTAGTGCTGTCGCGGTATTGCAATAGTTAAAACATGTGAAATGATGAAACATATTTCTGTTTAGTGATTGATTGTCACTTAATTTTATTGTTCCTCAGAATCAAGCGGAGAGGAGCTTATGTTGATGCCCAAAACGACCAGACCCTCCAAGTTGTTAGATGGATCATCGGATTTTGTGCTTACATATGAAGACAAAGATGGAGACTGGATGCTTGTCGGAGATGTTCCATGGGGGTATGTAATATCCACTTGATTCAGAATTTCAGATTATGCTTAGATTTGTTATGCTTCAAAGACTTATTTTGGTTCTTCATTTTCTTTTGGCCAATAGTCTGTCATGTTAATTTGGCACTCAGAAATTTAGGTATTTTGTGCCATGCATTTGTCTAAGAGAATTCATAAACCTACAAGTTAAAACAAGTAGCAAAAACTACATGTTGCATGACTTTGCTATAGCGTGGTGTTCTCACTTGTTGACCTTGTTTGTATATATTACGTTCTTTTCACCTGAAAATCTTGAATTTCTCGGAGCTGAACTTAACTTAATTGAGCGTGCTTGAATTTATTTGGACGCTTAAGCCTTAATGAGAATTTATTAGCCTTAATTGATCTTTACTTGGATTTTATGAGCTTTGAACTGAACATAGTAACCCTGAACTAAACTTATAAGCCCTTGACCTAAATCTGTTTGATCCTTAAAAGCAATTTTGCAAGGTGAAAAGTACAGGGCCATAGTATCAACGAGTTTTTTTTTTTTTAACTTCTGTTGCCAATTTGACATTTTAATTAAGTGAAGCTAGCATTACAATATTGAAGTTGGATAGTTGTATTGTTGGATACATTGTGCTATCTGATTTATGTCGTAAAATAGCGATGTGGTGGTCCTGTAAACTTTAAAACACATTTAAATTCTGGCAAACTCTGAAGACACGCAGTTATAGATGATTTGGAATATATACCTCCACAATGATTAGCATAAGATATGACAAAATGTCATTATCTAAGAGAACAACTTGTGTTGTGCTGCTCCATTTCCCCCCTATTGCTGGTCTTCTTAAATTACTATAGAAATCGGTGGATTCACATGGAAAAGACATGTTCAAATTACATGGTGTTCGCAACACTATAATTAGTTTTGTTTTGTTTTGGTTTGGATTGTTATCGTGTGCCAAGGGTAGAGTCTTTCTTGTTTTGGAAACTCTGCATGCAATGGTCGATGTTGTTTTGTGGTAACTGTTAACCTTTAGTTGCCTGAGAAATTTCCTGCTTGGGGCCATTTGTTATATGGGAAGTTTTTAACTGTGGTAGACTTTTCCGTGAAAATAAGGTATATTGTCTACAAGCCTGGGATAAAAAGTTATTTAATTGGATAATTGAAGCTTGATTGCCTTTCTTAATCACAGCTCTGGAATTACTTGTAATAGTGACTGTTACTTCCCATTGAACTTCATTACTTCAATTCCTTACTCTTCATTTACACAAGACTGATGCACTACATCCGCCTTTGGTTGTTACCATTACAGGATGTTCCTCAGCTCTGTGAAGCGGCTTAGAATCATGAGGACATCTGAAGCTAATGGACTTGGTAAACTGATGCCTTGTCAAGTTTGCTGTAAAATCCCTCCTTTTTCTGTATAGTTTAATACTCAAATAATTTTTAGTTTCTTGTCATTCAGCTCCAAGATCAGAAGAGAGAAGTGCCAAGCAAAGAAGCAGGCCTATATAGTCCATTTCTTCGTCATGTTTTAATATACAGAGAAAAAAAAAGCTGAAGCTAAATACTGGAAAAAGAGAGTACAATGGTTCTGCATACTCGTACAACGCAGACGTTGCCTAGTAACAACTGATCCTCTGCTTCTCATATATTTGTTTCTCATCAAAATCTCCTTTTGATTTTCCCCTTTATTCTACCACAAGTTTTTGGTTTTTGGGTTTTTTTTTTAGTACACATGATTTGCATACTGTCAGGGTTGGCTTTCTGTTAGTGTAAATATATATATGGGGTGCTAGGTTGTAACTTGTAAGGCTTCTTTGGTGTTTCGAAATACTGAATGAACTTGGATTTTGCCTTTGTAATGGAAATGGGTTTATATGGCTTCGGCTCTATGAAGCCTTGCTTTTACCTTCTACATCACTATGAGTCTATGACATTCTATGTAAAAAAAAAATTCTGGCTTTTGCTGTAATTTTTGCCTTGTCCTAGCTGCTATATTTCGACTTATACTTGGACAATGTGCAAAAATTGCAATTGCCGGGTACTTGTGATGCTCTGTTTCATTTTTGCTATCTGAGGCTGGCATATGATACCTGTTCTTATTTAAGTCTCTATTCTGTAATTTCTTTGTAGTGTAGATGTGAAATTGTATGAAAATATAACTTTTGAGCTTTCGCCTCGACTGGTACCAGTCTTGTAGCCATGGCCAATGGTGTATCTAATGGTCAGTTGTTGGACATTTTGCGGCTTACAATACTGTATTTGTTGGTGGGTTTTTTTTTTATCTGATCTCAAGAAATTGAACTTCATAGCACTTGACTTCATCGGTTTTCCCATATTTTGTGAAGTACTCGGATTAGATTTGATGTATTTTTATCAATTGCAAATTTTTAATTTTTATCCAACAACCACATACTATAAGTAGTAATTATACTTTTTATTATATTTCATTTTTGTATGTCCAATGTGCCCGCATTTTTAAGGGGAATTTTATTTATTTATTTTTACTTACCCGTTATTAGTTTGTTTTATTTTTGGTAAACATATTTACCTTATACATCAACGTTTACAAATTTTCATTCCCTCTCGTTTTAATCACATTTTCCTTGACTTGATCTATCTTTTAACTACAATTTTCTTACATTATCAACTGTTTTTTACATCCGCTCTACATTAATAAGAAACAAAGGCTACTGTAGATGGTAACTACGAATACGAAGTAAATACGAGTACATAAACTAACCGAGGTAGTATAACTCTTTGCAGACTTCATCTTCCGAGCAAAATATGAATGAAGGCTAATGTCGTAAAAGGACCGAAACAACAATCTCAAAGATCATGTGTATATAAGAGAAATAAAAATGAATATTAATATAATCCTAGAAACTATAAAGTGACAATTTTTTTTTTTTTTTGGAACTTTTTTTTTTTTTTATTTTTTTTATAATTTTTATTACTATCTCCGTTTCATATTTTTTACAACTTTAAAATATTTTATACCTCACAAATAATACCCTAAAGTTACAAAAAAATATAAAACGGAATTTTGGAACTTAAATATTGTACAGATGAGGATTTTTCTGTTTTGGTAAATACATATATTAAAGACTATAAAGTCAACAAGTTGAGATGGCCGAGTTGGTCTAAGGCGCCAGATTAAGGTTTTGGTCCGAAAGGGCGTGGGTTCAAATCCCACTCTCAACAATTTTATGCAACTCTTTTTTTTCTTAGTAAACTTTTATTCTGTCCAGTCTCCACATTTAGTTTTCAAACTCACATATCCGTTCAAATTATGCTATTAACGTGAAGTCCTCACATTATCCGTTCAACTTACACTAACATAAAGTCGTGACTATTAATTCCGGACATAATATTTATGCTCCTTATCTTCATCATTTATAACTGCAACCCTGTTTGCTATAATGGGCTGCTGACTATTGCATATAAAGATTATAACTGGTCCAATCATCGATTATTTTTGTTCCCAGTATTCTGCCACTCTATTGATTTTCATAATTTGGTCCAACACCTCTTTCTTTTCCTGACAAAATGGTCCAATATCTTACTCTAATTAGCATTTATACCTCTTGACAAATTTGTGCTGATTCAATGGCAATGGTCCTTATCCTGCTGCAATTTGGCATTTTGTCAGCTGCAACTATCCATGTTTATTACACCCTTTTTATTGTTATTTGTATTTTATTTCTTCCCATCTTTTGTTTAGATTTACAGCAATATTATGAAGTAAGTTTAGGAGCACACAAGTTTATGAAACATCACCACCCTTCGAGTAGGGAGCGAGGCAAAGGATTACCCCGAGTGTTAACTTAAACTTCTCAGGACAGACTCGTGAGTGTCAAGGTTGTACTCGACTACTCTTGTACACTGATAAAACAGTAGGACTCGGTGTTTAAATTATAGGAACAGGTTGATTGGGCTTGAGCAGACTAGCAACATACTCCATAGAGTCCATACTAGTCTTATATGTATCTGTTATAAGAGCATCCACATTGGTGGGAAAATAGGCTCTCCATTTGCCAAAAAATGGAAATGGGGACCTTCCCACCAATGTTACTCCTTTTCCATTTGATAAATATTTTTAGGGAGGTTAATTTGATGGGAAGCCTTCCAAAAATTCATATGGGCCCAATTTGCACACTTGGACACCAAAAATTTAGGCGGGAGAGAGTGTGGCCGGCGTGGAGTGGGGGAGTAGGCGGGGCCGGAGGTGGTGGGGCGGAGACGGTGGCTGGGGTTTGGGTTTGGTCTGGTTTTTATTTTTTATTTTTTATTTTTGATTTTTATTTTTTATTTTTTTAATAATCAATTAAATAGATTAAAAAAAACAACCAATCAGCAGATGCCACGTGACACAATTAACCTTTAATGACTACCGGAGTTGACGTCCGTTAGTCATTTGGGTATTTGGGGCATTTTTGTTAAACAAGCCAAGTTAAACAGCCAGCAGCCAACAACCATTTGCCAAACAAGGCCTAAGTGTCAAATTTCTTTAAGCATGGTAACTTTATTTGTAAATTATATATTAATAAAATTTATTATTGAGTTGCTCACGAGCTTATCGAATCGAGTTAGAGCTTGCTCAACTCGTGCTCGTGAATATCTTGAGTCGAGCCAAATCGAGTCGAGTTTTGACTGAGTCGAGTTCGAGTTGCTCGCGAGCTGCTCAACTCGATTAGCACCCCTAAGACAGATGCTTACAATCTGGGTTTACCAAATAAATTATATATTTTTTTCCAAAATAAATAAAATTATGCAACTAACTTTTTGCGGTTGTAACATGTTAAAGAAGATCATATTATAAATTTTAAAATTTACTATTTAATACCAGCAAGTTGAGATGGCCGAGTTGGTCTAAGGCGCCAGATTAAGGTTCTGGTCCGAAAGGGCGTAGACCAAAGCTTATCATCAAGTTCTTAAGCAATTATATAAAGATTTGAATTATTTTTCCTTGAAGTATTGAGACTTCCTTTGTAATAATCTACAATAAAGGGTACAATATTGAAGGAGAATTCTATCTTTTGAAGAATTTTTATCTATACCCCCCTCTTTTGATTTTGATCTATTGAACACCAACTTCAATCTGATTACAAAATATAACATAAAGTAAAATATAATTTAAAGTGGACAAAAAAAGTTGCTACATACAAAGTTACAACTAAGAATATGCAGGATAACTTAGTTAATCCTAGAGAGACAAGATTTCGGTCTCATTCGGATGTAGGCTATATGCTGCCATTTACAGGAGAAGCAGTAAAAATAGGTTTATCCTTGTCTATGTTAGCTGTAGTTAAACTATTACTGCTGCTTTTCCTCCTAGGCTTTGCTTCACCTAGCATTGTGATCACATCTCTCATTGAGGGACGGTCTTTAGGTACCTTTGCGGTGCAAAGGAGCGCGATTTTAAGCACTAACAGCATCTCTTCTTGTACATGTTTACAGTTACCTGCTAGGGTAGGATCAAGCACTTCTTCTAATGACCTGTTGTTTCTTGGTTTGTTTCTTATCCACTCTACAACATCTATTGACTCTCCGAATTCTTTGTCTATCGGCCTCCTCCCGGTTATGAGCTCCAATAGTACCACCCCATAGCTGTAAATGTCACTCTTCTCATCTACTTTTAATGAGTATCCATACTCTGCATCACAAAAGAGAGCAAAAAACATCATTAGTGTAAACAATTGAATTTTGATTTTACATTAACATTATAGAAAATAAACTGAATTAGGGACTTACCAGGGGCTATGTAACCATGAGAACCAGCAATCATAGAGACAGTTTCGTCGTTTTTGATCATCATCTTAGCCAATCCAAAATCAGCAATCCTTGCATCTAGGTTGGCATCAAGCAATATATTGTTCGATTTAACATCTCGGTGTATGACTGGTGGATGACAATCATGATGAAGATAGGCAAGTCCTTGAGCAACTCCAACTGCAATGTTATATCTTGACACCCAATCTACTAACAACCCTCCTTCTTGTTTATTATGCAAAGCATCTCCAAGGTTTCCGTTATGCATGTACTCATATAAAATCATAGCATCTTTATCAGTATGAAGAAACCCTAATAATCTGACAATATTTCTATGTCTTAACTTCCCTAGAAGGTTCACTTCCCCTACAAGATCATCACCCGCGCTCCCTGCCTCAATGTCAGTCTTTGCTTTCCACAGCTTCTTGACTGCCACAACCATGTTCAGCCGAGGTACCTCAGCCTTGTAGACTATTCCTGTGGCTCCCATTCCTATGACATTGGACTCCTTGATGCAGGAGAGTATGTCATTGCTGGTGAACCCGAGTCTTTGGAAGGCCATTAGCCTCCAAGGCCATGCCCCATTGCCTGCATCATCATATCTCTCAAAGCATGTGCCATTCGCGTACCACCTTTTGTACATAATGTTGCCCCCTAAGATTGCAATCCCTACTGCTAAAACAGCTGCAACCCCTATTGCCCAACCTGTAAGGACATGTTTGGTTCGGAGGTTTTGATTTTCTTCTCTAATGGGTGAGGCTGCAGAGCAAGGCGGAAGGATCCCACCACAAAGGCCTTTATTTCCTGCTAGATCAGCAGGGTTGATAGCCTTAAGTATACCATTTGATGGAATAGGACCAACAAGCTGGTTATGTGACACATTGAACATCTCTAAAGCTGGTGAACTACCAAAATGTTCCGGGATTTTGCCTGTTAAGGTGTTGTTGGAAAGGTCTAGAACTGCTAATGAAGGCATCATTGCGATAGACTCAGGAATTTCACCGCTTAATTTGTTGTTTTTCAAGCTTAGAGTGACTAGTTTCTGACAAGAAGCAATGCTGCTTGGGATCATACCAGTAAAGTGATTCGATGAGAGATCAAGAACAGAAAGTGAAGGGCAGTCCTGAAACTGATCTGGAATTTTACATCCTAAATTGTTTTTTGAGACCATGAGAGTTTGGAGATTAGGAAGGGACAGAATTGTGGAGGGCAGAGAAGAATGTAGGAGGTTTCCTGATAAATCGATGAACGACAGAGAAGGCGAAGAAGCAAGATCATTAGGAATGCTACCAGTCAGACTGTTATTAGCCAGTTCTAATCTCTGAAGCTTAGGTAACTTCCCAAGACCCAAAGGAATAGAACCAGAAAGGCGATTATTATGGACTCGAACACGAACTAATGAGTTGCATTTAGACAAACTAGCTGGTATAGAACTATCAAATGCATTATTGAACAGAATGAGCTTAGTGAGATTACCTTGATCACAAAGGCCATTCGGAATTTCACCAGAAAATGAATTGGATGAAATATCCAGCCACTGCAAGGGGCAATTTTTACCAAGATCACTAGGCAAAGGGCCGGAAATCGAGTTATTCCAGAGCTCAAGAATCTGCAACTGAGGCAATTTACCAATCCCAGAAGGGACTGAACCTGATAACTTGTTAAACATCAGGTTTATCAGCTGTAAGTTCTTCAGTTCACCTATTTCTGCTGGGATTTCCCCTGATAGTAAATTATCAGACAAATCAAGGGAAACTAAGGATGAAAGATTACCAATTGTAGAAGGAATTTTTCCTTCCAAATTGTTTTTATACAAGTAAAGTGTATCCAGCTGAATTAACCCACCTAATTCAGCTGGGATTTCGCTGCCTAGATTAGCAATTGCCAAATCCAAGTACTTGAGATTGGTAAGATTACCAAACTCTCTAGGAATCTTCCCTTCAAACACATTATACCCAAGAATCATGGTTTCTAAAGATGACAGATGCCCGAGCTGAGGCGGTATTCTGCCTGTCAAATTGTTTCCTGACAGGCCTAAAAACTTCAGATTCTGCAAGTTCATGTAAGAAGCAGGAATTGATCCAGCAAAGTAACTTCCTCGAAGATCAAGAGTTTCGAGGAGAGTTGCATTGCTTAAATCAGTAGGAAGATCACCCTCAAAGTTATTTCCAGAACAATTCAAATAAGTCAATGCATCAAACTTACCAAATCCCAAAGGAAAAACCCCAGAAAACAGATTCTGACTCACATCTAAGGACTTCAAAGATGTGATATTTGTGATAGAATTTGGCAACAATGTTGTAAACCCATTACAGCATAAATTCAAATATGACAGTGAATTCAGCTGTTGAAACTCATCAGAAATCTTCCCACTGAGGTTCATGTGGGAAACATCAAGCTTTTCGACGAATCCTAGCTCATTGCAGTAGACACCAGTCCAACTGCAATGAGCTGAATCATTTACATCAGATGATAACTTCCAGTCGTGTAGCCGGTCCAATGGATCGACTAAGCTTGATTTAATCGATAACAGGACAGAGGCTTCATCACTGAGATTCGCGGCACTGATAGTGTAGTAACAACCAATGTAACAGTAAAAGAGGAAGAACAACAAGAATGCCAACTCAAGTTTAAGCTGCATATTGTTATTAAGTGATCTTCTACTAATTACTTACACTAATTTTAGTGTAACTACTTTTTCATGATTGCTGAATGAATAACATGAGGTGGGCTCTTGTGGGTCAGGGGAGTTTGATTGAAAAAAATGTGGAAGAACAAAGAAGAAGAAGAAGAAGGAAGATAAATGAAATTAGATTGGTTAATAAATAAGCACCATAATATTAAGTACATATTAATACTATACAATATAAAAGATTAGATAAATATTTTGATTATTTATATAATCAAATTGGATGAAGATGTAAAAAAATTTGGAATTATTGGGAGTATCTCCGACAATAAACATGGAGAGAATGTGTTTCTCTAAGCTAAGTTTCTTACTTGCTTCTAGTACTGTTAATATAAGTTTGGTCAACTATAATATTAAGTAAATATGATTGTAAATTAAGATTAACTTTGGGTGTTTAGTGTTTAATTAATTAGAGGGAATATGTCTGATTATACAGTTGTTTATTGAAGCATAATGCAGCACATCTTTAATTAGGCTCTTGCATTTCTTAAAAGACAATTAATACTTAAATTATATTCCCCTTTAAGTTTGCCAGGTGAAAGTTTAGAGTTGAATTCTTGGTGAAAGTAGTTTCCCATGTTTGGAACATCCTCTTCTTCCATAGATCTGTTATTTAATCGTAATTTTTATTATAAAAATGTGTCTTACTTCATCTTAATACGTAAAAATGGGAAGAAAAAAAAAAAAAAAAACTCTTCTAATTTTTTTTAAAGGTAGTTCATCTGGTGGCGTTAGTAATTCAAAATATGCTTATATCAAAATATGATGTTGGATATCTTTATTGCTTTTTTAGAGCTCGATTTTCTTGAGAGGAGAAAATATAAGGGATTGAGTCAAGTGCGGTCTTATTTTGAGTTCACATACTAATCACGTTGTTAATTAATGTCGCTATAACAATTAAATCCGGAGTAAGGGAGTGAGGGACTATAAAATAAAATTGGTTGGTTGATGATTTTGATAATTAAAAAATAAGGAAAAGAGAGTAATGAGTGTGAATCCCGAAGGTGCATGGCCAAAATGATAAGTCCTAAGTTTGATCAAAATGGAGAAGAGTAACTTTCAAGTATGACAAAGATTCTTGTAAGTAAGTGTCACTATTACTCAACTACAAGTCAAGTGTTTAAGTCTTATAGTCTATAAAGCTCTCAACTTTATCCAAAAACATATCGAGTAGTTTACAAAAGGTGTAGGCTACAACAATCTCCACATAATTTTTAGTACGATGTAATAATGACTAAATAAGCTGGCAAGTGTCTTTAATTAGTTATTAAGAAATTTTAACTATTGTGTAATTATTTTTATGTCATCAAACTATCAAAGAAGTTTAACTTGTATAAAATAATTTTTCATTTCTAAAGACGATATTGAGACAGTCTTATAATAAATTGTATTTATTTATAAATTTTATTAGAAAATCTATTTATAACTTATTTTAGACTGCATAAGTTTTGATAAAATGGGGTTTTTCATTCCCATCAACTTCTTACAAAAACTACTTTTATTTAGATGATTTCACACACAAATAAAACAATTATTGACATAATAAGTTGAATCCTTACCTACAACTACTCTTACTATAAAATAAATTTTTATTTAGACAATTTTACGCACAAATAAAACAACTACTCTTGACTAAATAAATGAATCATTACATCCTTTCAACATAAAAAATGAATCATTACATTTAATCAAGTTTTGTTACAATGAGTTTATTTTTATTCTTGTCAATTTCTAGCTTATAAAAATAAATTTTAATCAAACAATTTCGAAAAAATAAAACACTTTTTCGAATTAAAACTCAAGATAAATTAGACCTTGGTTTCAAATAAAAAAAAAAAAAGAAAAAAAAAGATAAATTAGACCATCTCACCAAATACTAAATTGTTTTTACGTCTATTAGCTTTCAATTTTCTTAATATCTAAAAAAATGTTGGAAATTAAATTTGAAGAGATTTAATTAAAAAAAGGAAAAAAAATTAATGTAGATCTTATTGCGGAAAATGAACTTTAGTAGTGATTAATTATCTCAATAATTATCTATATAAGAAGGAATACTTATTAGTTGGGTTAGTTGTATGATGAAATGGATGATTGAGTTGGACAAGAGGAATCTTTTACATGTTATAGGAATAACCAGACACTGCAACAAAACAAATTCACTTCCATGCAATGTTTTCTAATATTATTAAAATATCCAAAAAGGTGATGTCACTACTAACCCTGAAATAATTACTGAAATTATTACAATTAACCCTATACTTCATATAATCTTTATACTATAATATAATTGCCAAAAGGGAATTTTACTAGCATTTGTAAAAATAAAATCTAATGAGAAAATGTCTGTAAATTTCCTTCAAATACTTTTTAAGCCTTTCAATCAGAAACTTTATGCTTCTTGCTTCTTTCCTTTTGCTTTCCTTGTTTTCTTTTCCTCCTTTTTTTACCTTTGCAATTTACATTTAATTAGCAAATGTCTTTAAGCCTTTATATTTCTATATTTCTTTTAAAGGTTTCTTAGAAATTTCTATTCAAAAGGTCTCTTAGGAATATTTTTTCCTTTCCATTGAATTCAGTAAATCATCATCATAATTTGCACTATTGTCTAATGTTTAGATTTTATTTGGTGTAGAGCAAGAGAGCCACCAAGGGATATGATGTAGACGAGATTTGATTTTAAGTTTTGAGTAAGTATCACCCCTTAATAATTTAACCAATTAAGTTAGTTGATCATCCGCATGTAAATGTTTAGATGTTATACATTTAAATAAGTGAAACTCTAACAAATATAAAGTAGGTTGATAGCTCGCTACAAGTAAATAAGCTAGAATTGTTGTAAAGTTTCAAATCAACGTTAGATTTTAAATAGATATTGTTTACATTGATGTTCATGGTAAATCATTTTCATATTAGGGCTATGTATGTACTTTTTGATCGATTTTCATCACAGTACAACTCATGGCAATTGTTCAGAGATGTGGCAACAAAAATTATTAAGAAATAAACCAAATTAAAAAAAGGAAAAATTGATTCTAATAATCTCACCTTTAGCCGGTTCGCTGTTATAATCCCACCTTTGGACTATTATTTAATAATCCCACTTTTATAGGGGATCTTCTTCTATTGGTCCCCAACTTGTTGGTAACCGGTTTTGATAAGTTAATATGTCATGTGTCATTTTGTAATTGGTTGAAAAATAAAAAAAAAAAATTAAAAAATTAAAAACTAAAAAAAAAAAGAAAAAAACCCACCAGCCACCCCCACCCACCGTGAAACCCTAACCCTCACCCTAGCCCCACCAAAAACCAGTCGGCCGCCACCCTAAACCTTCGAAAACGGCTGGTCGGAACCCTCCCAGTACCAAAAACCACCCCACCGACCAAAAGCCACTCCCAAAATCACCCCTAACCCAAATCCTAACCCCGAAACCACCATAACTACCATAACCACCTTGAAAAACGCCGAAAACCTCCTCTCACTGCCAAAAACTGCCGAAAAGCCCCTCTAACCGCCGAAAACCTCCGAAACTCCTACCGAAATTCAAGCTCAAGCCATCCCTTCTTCTCTTGAAGGTTTTTCTTTTCTTTTTTTTTTTTTTACTTTTTTTTTTACCTTAATTCATTGAAATTAAGGGCCGATTTTTGCTGCGTGGGGGTGGGAATAGGGGTTTCGGCGTTTTGGCGGTGGGGATGGGGAGGAGGGCTGTCAGAGGTTAGGGTGGTCGTTGGGGGTTGGCTAGGTTTTTTTAAAAAAAAAAATCTTTTTTTTTATTTAAAAATTTTTTTTACCAGATTTTTTTTTAAGGTTTTTCTTTTTGAGCAATAATTTAGTGATACGTGTCACTCAAATTAAAAAAAAAAAAAGTTTACCTAATGTACAGGTTACCGGTCATAAAAGACCAATAGAAGAAGATCCCCTATAAAGGTGAGATTATTAAATAATAATCTAAAGGTGGGATTATTAATAGCGAATCGGCCAAAGGTAGGATTATTAGAATCAATTTTACTATTAAAAAAAGGCAATATTTACCTATATTCTTTGGTAATGTTTACCAATATTTAAAAAGAAAGGCAATATCAATGTAGAAAACATAAATTTGGAGTAGTCTATTACTCTATTAGGGTTTTTTTTTTTTCCTAAAATAAAAAAATTATATTTAGGAGGGAATTTGTAAAGTTTGAAGAAAAAAATTTGGAGGCTGTGGTTAAACATTAGAAAATTGACTTTTTATTTTTTATCATTACTTTTAAGCCTTGCCAATATTAGACACAAGATCAATAAGTAATATGAAAATGTTCCAAAAAAAAATGCAAGTTTATTAAACTTATGACTCAAGTTAATTCATCACATGAAATTCTTCTTAATGCAATTTATTAACTTATCACAATAACTTTTAGCAAAATAAAATCAACATAAATAATTTATTTAAGTAGAATAAGTTATATTCAGCAATAAGTGCATAAAAAAAAATTTAAATACAACATAAAAATAAGTTAGTTACTTTAAGCATATTTTCATCAAAATTAAGCTAAATTCAACAAAAATATGGTGAGAAAAACAAACCTTGACCTTTGCATAAACTAAAAGTTTCTAGTTGACTTTGGCACAAATTATTTAAAAATATGTTTAATTTAACAACAATGTTAAATATGGGTTTGAGTTGCATTCACCATCTAAAGAGAGAATCCACTTCATAAAGCCTGATAATAAGGTTATCACATGATAATAAAAGAGTAGCTAGCCCATTTTCTTTATAAAACGATTAACCCTCAAGGGGATTTTTTTTTTTTTTTTTTTTTTTTTTTTTTTTTTTTTTAACACATACTCACTTATATTGTGCATATGAAGCCTCCGCTCTTTTTTATGTGCCTCCGCTCTTTTTTATGTGCCTCGTATGTGATATTTCATAAAACCAAATCGCGCTTTCAACAGAAAAATAACCAAATTCATAAAATACAATCATATATCAAAAAGAGAATTTTGAAAAATAAATTAAACAAACTCTTACTACTTGAAATGTAATCTTTAATGGGACTGGAGAACTGTATGGGGAGGCTATGATACGGAGAAGTACAAGGATGCATGTAGTGAAGAGTTCTGAATACGGTGGAATATTTATAAGAGACATTGTATCATATAAATGTATAAACAAAACATGCAATAATTCAAAGGAATTAATTCGAAACAGAAAGAAATAATGGGAGATAAGTAGTGATGAACATGTTAGTATCAATCATATTATGGACCCACCAAACCGTCATTCTTCCCACTAATAAAAACAGTTAATTTAATTAGAGTTAATTAAAATAA